TTTTAGCCTGAGCAGTCTCCTTGCCTCGAATATCTTGAGCCTTTGATTATTACCATGCTGGAATGAGAAGAAAAAGTTGCAGTTCTTTAATGAGCATATGGAAAGATGTGGGTAGAATTTCAGTCTGTTTGTTGTATATCTCATTCCTAGGCCTTACCTTCATCAGAGTGCTAAAGCATGCTGTGAGCCCATTGTTGGTGCAGAAGGGTCCTTCCTCCCCACACCTTTATTTAGCAGTCATCATCCCTCTCCCAGCGCCCCCCACACATGCATGTACACTCTGAGCACGTAATTCTCCTAACCTCCTGGAAAAGGATTAGTTTGAGGTTCATTAATGGAATATGTGAGCACTCTTTACTGTTTCATTGATGGATGTCACCTTTTCCCCTCCTGGCCTCTATCCTTGGTGTGCAATTTAGTGGAAGGTGTTTAGACCAGCCCTGCCAGCTGTGACACCTGGAAATATGTAGGGAATTGGGTAAGCCCTTCTTCCCTGTGCGCCCTCATTCCTGACTCTCTATTCATGATTAGGAGCAGATTCTCCACTAGCTCAATGTTGTGCCTGGCTGACCAACTGGGGGCCTTATGGAGTTAGTGGGAATGGAGCATCATACACACATGGCCAAGCAGTGGCCTTTCTACACTGAGCCCTCCACTCTGAGACTCTTCCTGACCAGGCCTCCAGTATCGGGTATGACAGTGTTCACACAGGGCCTAGGTCTCCTGACCAGTCCAGGGTTCCCACTCACTCTCCTTGCACATCTTACAAGGTGACTTGACTCAGCGCTTGGTTCTCTGCCACTCAGTTTCCGGGCTGGAACTCCACAAATGATGCTGACTGTATAGAAGGATTTGGTTACAAGAGAAAGCCCAGACATCATTTTAACTGGCCCAACTCGTTCTTTCATTTTACAAAAAGAATCACTTAAAAGCATTCATTATAATTGATTTCTGTAATTAAATGGGTTTCTTTGTGTTGGAACTGCCAACAAAATAATTGAAGCAACAAGGCTCTTGTCTTTTTAAAAAGCAAATTAAAACATTTTGAAAATGGTGAAAGTGAGCAAAGGGACTGATTTTAATGAGACAGTTTAGGTCAGAAACTTTACAATAACAGTGCCTTTCACCTTGAAACATGGTACTGGCTAGATTTTAAACATATACCCAGCCCAAACTAAAGTTCTCAGAGCTTTCAGCAAAAAGGCTGCTCAAAAAGCATAAAGCCACAGTACAGAGCAGCCAGTATGTACATTTCCACTCGTTCTAATAGTTTGTTTTTTCCCTAACATCTTCCTTCAGGTAGTAACTGTTTCTGCTCATTATCATCAGGCATACGCTTACAGAGATCAGTCATTATACCTTAGACCTAGACTTTTTTTTTCCCTTCAAATAAAGGCCACCCACTGCCAAAAATTTTCTTCTGCAATCTTCCATTTGCCTAATGGGATGAGTGATTTAACTGACTTGAAACAAGTAGCACCTTATTTTAAATACCTTCCTTCTCTTTCTTGTATTGATGAAGCCAGTCACCTCACCTCATTTTTTTAACCCACACATATGGAAGGAAAGTTGTCCTTACTTTCACAGAAGTTTGTCTTCCACTGGCATATTAGACAGCCTCATATCTTATTTTGTTCTTCAGACCCCCTAGTTCTAAGGCCTCTGCCAAGGGACTGTCCCTAAGCCACATACTGGCCAGCAGCTTCTTTCTGCTGGGTCTTCACCCCTGCTCCCACACTCACAATAGACCCATTGCTGATTCTGCTTTATAAAGCAAAGTTGTTTGCATTTTCAGAGAATGAAGGAATATCTGAGGAGCCTCTAGAATCTTTACACGTGATGGTGATGATCAAAAAGAACTTTCTTTTCTCTAAAGACACTCAGAAGTGCCCAGGTTGGGGCTGGGTGTGGAATGGGCTTTGGTATGACAGACAAGACCAGTGAACTTACCTTTCTTGCCAAATGGGGCCCATAAGACAGATTTTTATTTCCACTGTTGAGCTGGAAACAAACTGTGCCTTCAAAAAAGTGGTTTTTCTAACTTTAGGTTGGTTATATGTTAAATGTGCTACTAACCTCAAAATAAGTGCATTCTCCTCCAGAGGAAACAATTTCTAACATCAGTGATTTGTAACTTAGCAGTGGGGTTGTCTTTGCATTCTGTAGGAAAGGAGGCCTGAATTTAACTCAGGTGGCAAGGAAAGAAATACAGAAGTGTATTTTAATTCTCTAACTTCTTTCTATAAATATGTAATTTTAAGTGTACACTACACCAATTTAGTAAAAATCTTATACTTTGTCTCTATAGGCCTTTTTTGAAGAATTTTTAAAGTTAGCAATGTTGTTGAGCATCTTCAGCTCGCTCTGATGGATGAAATGTCTTATGTACAGAATCATGGTTTAGTCATTGAAAGTGCTTGTGGACATTGAAGGTGGGCTTTTTTGTTCAGTCTGTATCAGAACAGCTCTTATGTTCCATGCCTTCAACTTAACAACAACCATATTCCATGAAATAAAATGTGAAGTTTTTAAATCAGCTTCTGTCTTCTACCTAGTTATTTTCAAAGAGTTGGTGGAGGGGAATCCTCTTTGTTGAGTCATCCTGCATATGGCCTTCCCTGCCACATTTAGCTCCCTGCCACATTTAGCCTATGTACAAACTTCCTTCTTGAAATTCTCATCCGTCAGAGTGCTTTCTGGTTCTGTCTCCTACCTCAATGCCCCCTATGCAGAATGGGCTAGAGTGTAAATGTTTAGGCTCACAGGCCAAACCGTCTGTCACATCTACTCCACAATTGTAGCACAAAAGCAGCCAAAGATGATATAAGTGGCCATGTTCCAATAAAACATGGATATTGAACTTTTAACCTGATACAATTTTTACATGCCACAAAATACTTCTTGTGATTTTTCTAATCCTCACCCAAGGATATGCTCATTGATTTTAGAGAGAGGAGAAGGGAGGGAGAGAAACATCGACATAAGAGAAACATGATTGGTTGCATCTGGTATACATCCCGGTAGGGATCAAACCAAAACTTAGGTATGTGCCTTGACCAATGGTCAAACCTTCAACGTTTTGTGAATGGGATGATGCTCCAACAAACTGAGCTACCCAGCCAGGGCAGGTCTATGAATTTTTGCTGGAATTAGAAGCTGAATGTCCTGACTTGCCCTACTACACAGCATTTTGATGGCTTACCAATCAATGGTAAAGTTCTATTATTATTTTTTTCATCTCAGAGCCAAGACAGATTTTTCAGAACAGAACCAATCTAAACTATTGTTACTGAATACTTAATGGCCTTGGAAATTAGCTTGTGCTATATAATTAAGTTTTTAAGGGTTTTATTTATTTATTTTTAGAGAGAAAAGGGAGAGAGGGAGAGAAATATCAATATGTAGTTGCCTCTCACGTGGCCCCCACTGGGGACCCAGCCCACAACCCAGACATGTGCCCTCACTGGGAATTGAACGGGTAACCCTTTGGTTTGCACTTGGCTACACCAGCCAGGGCTAATTGATAATGTTTCTTAATTCAACCTAAAGTTATGGGGGGCAAAACAGTGTTTACATGTGAAATGTATACTGCAGATAAGTCATTTGGACAATAACTAATGTTTTGCGGCACAAGTAACATTACACTGCTTCATACACTTCCCATGCTGTCAGAAATTTAAACAAAAGCAAGATCTCCATTCCCACACAAATTTGCAACATACATTTTCTGAGCTCAAACTACAGTTCCAGCAGCATTTTCAGATCTTGATGGCAAGTGCAGTGGAACTTTTCATATATCAAAATCCACTTAACTGTGCAATTGAGGAACTTCCATCTAATCCTCAATTGAAGATAATTAATTTGCAATGTAACAAGTTAAAAGGCTTTTTCCAGACTTATGTACTTGTGTCCAGATCAATAAAGCAGAGATAGACACTTGAGTGGCATTTCCCAGATTGTTAGGTCCTTTGCCATATTTTTTTTAAAAATTGATTTAGAGGGAAAGAAACTGATTTGTTTCTTGCATGTGTCAATTAGGGATAGTACCCGCAACTTTGGTGTATCCAGACGAGGCTTCAACCCACTGTACCACCCGGCTAGGGCCTGGACCGGCTTGTCCGTCCAGTTCCTGGGGTGGCGCTACCAATAATCTGGCACCAGTAGCCGGAAGGTTTTTCTTGTCAGTCATTTGTTCAACAAATATTTGAGCACCAACTCAGGGCCACGCATCGTGCTAGGCCCAGAGGTGAACAAGACAGACAAGGTCCGCACTTCCTCAAAATGTACATTCTAGTCGGGGGTTAGGGAACAGAAAGGCTGGGAGGGCACGGCTGGAGCCGGCTACACAAGGGGGGAATGAAAGACTAACGGAGAAGTAGGCTGAGCCCCTAGCAGGGACGGCCACGCCCCAGAAGCGTCTGTGCATTATTCAGCGCCAGGAACGACCAGGCAGTGTTTCCTAGACCACTTAATCCTGTCAGTCCAACCTTCTCACCCTCAACTTGTGCCTGTTGGGTCACTTGGCCACTTCGGGTCGCTCAGCCTACCAGGACACCTCGGGTCAGGGTCACCTAGTCCCTATCTGCTGGCCGCCTCAGCTCCACGATCATCTCCTTCCTAAGCTACCTCAACCCATCCGGGACTGTCCCCTCGGCTGGCCAGGTCACCCCAGTACCACGCCTCCCTGGCCAGAGATTCGGCCTGCACGTTACGCTTTGTTCCCAGAGCAGGTTTTCGAAATGCCGCTCCCTCTCGGCTCCAGCTGTTTTCTTACCATCCGGGAGCGCCAGCGCCCCCGGCGGCGTACGCAGGGCCAAGAAGGGAGTGCCCGCTGCCTTCGACTCCTCCGCCTCCTCCCTGAACGCGGGAGCCGGAGCGAGCGGCGCAGGCCCGAACCGTCACGACCGCGCTCCTGATTGGCTGTGTCGCAAGACGTCAGGGGAGGGCCCCGACTGCCTCTGGGAGCCGGAGCCCGCGCGTGCGCAAACAGAGCGCGCTGAGCGGAGGGGGAGGTGGCCGGCAGCTTCTCCCGCGTCCGCCATTTTGTTGCTGTGGCTCTTGGGAACCGGCTAGGCAAAACCGCCCTGGAGGCGCGACGCTCCTTGGAGTTTGGTATTTGGTGTAGTAGCTGGGGTCGGTGCAGAGCCGTAGGGGCGCGGAACCGGTACGCTTCAGGCCAGGAGTGACTGGAGGCAGGCACTCCCGGTACGCGGGGCAGCCCGAGAACCCTGGGGCGGCCTCCGCTGCGGTTCGGCTTCGCCCGCCGCGACCTCGGGCTCTGCCCCGGGTTCCCTGAGCCGGCTCCTTCCGTGAGGCGGCCCCGGAGCAGGCGGGCTAAAGTGGAGGATGCTGTGGGGTCGGAGCCGAGAGGAAGGTGCTGGCTCGGCCCTCTAAGCACGTCTCGAAGTGTGCCGAGAGGCCCTTCTTCGGCCCCAAAGCCGTCTGCCGGGAATAGGTGTCCAGAGCAGGCGAGAGCAGCCGCCGCCCCGACCCGCCCCACAGCCTCGGCCCGACACCATGTCCTCCGCCAGGTTCGACTCCTCTGATCGCTCCTCTTGGTACATGGGGCCAGTGTCTCGTCAGGAGGCGCAGACCCGGCTCCAGGGCCAGCGCCACGGAATGTTTTTAGTCCGCGACTCCTCCACCTGCCCCGGGGACTATGTGCTGTCGGTGTCCGAGAATTCGCGGGTCTCCCACTACATCATCAACTCGCTGCCCAACCGCCGTTTTAAGATTGGGGATCAGGAGTTTGACCACTTGTCGACCCTGCTGGAGTTCTACAAGATTCACTACCTGGACACCACCACCCTAATCGAGCCCGCACCCAGGTACGCAAGCGCCCGCGGTCCCGGGGCGTGCTACCCACCCGACCAGAGAAGAGGGGATTGACAATGGCCGAGTTGGTGCATGGGGTCGATCCAAGAGTGTGTGTGTGTGTGGGTACGGGTGATTGATCTCATTTCCTCCTAGTGTAAACCGAATTACTTTCCAGAAAGCATTCCAAATGGAAGGCTAGCGTCAGGATCTGGGTCACTGTGCATGAGGGGATGCGTGTTCACGGCGGTTGCATAGTTAAAAATTAAAATGTACGGGTCTTTTTTTTTTGTCACGTTCACTATTTAGTTATGGTACTAAAGCAGGATTTTGTTGTTTGGTTTTTTTTTTTTTTAACCTTTTTTGGATTATAGACTTCTTTAAGAATCTGAGCATAGCCGTTGGCATCCTCCCCCAAAATGCACGTACACACCCGTTTGCACACCATTCAAGGTTCTTGAACGCCCTGCCTATCTCTGAACTCCAGATTAAGAACTCCTGTCCAGCAGCCTTTGGAACAGTCGACAAATGAAAATGCTTTAGCATTTAAGAGCAAAAGCCTGTAACTGAAATATCAGAACTGTATATATTAATACTTTGGTGCCAAGTTTGAAATAGCCAGACACCTATTATACATTAAATACAAAAATTTTAAAAGAGGGCACATTAGCTTTAGCGAGGATTTCCTTCTGAATTTTTATTTTATACTTTTACTCCAAGCTGGATCGTTAGTAAGCTAGCAACCCATTTGGTTATATTCCAAGGAAGAATAAGTCTAGAAATTTATTTGAATTGTCATTCAAATTTTTGAATGACAGTTTTTTTGAATTTTAGATGTACTTTTTGTTTTAAGTCTAATGACTTAATGTCTTTTAATTTTAATATCTGTTTGACACTGAGCATCAAGCATCCCCTTTTCCAAGTAAAATGCATTCTTTTATTGTTTTCCTTTGCTTTCATCGGTGTTTTATCAGTGTTTCTTAATTTAAATTAAGCCAAATTTGAGCTGAGGAAATTGCCTAAAATATTAAAAATAAAAGGCATTTTATTTGTTTCTTAAACATCTATTTTAAAAGGACAGGGTGTTAATACAGATTTTGGGGGGATGACATATTTGTCGTTTTAGAGATTTGCTGACAAGATATTACTATGAGCTTTAAACATTAAAAGCTACTATAGTTAATTAAGGAATACTCACTGGATGCCTGGTCTAAGTGTCGTGTCTGTGGAATAGAGAGAAGAAATAAAACTAATAGTATAATGGTTATAAGATTTAACTACTGAAGTAAATGGACTTTAAAAACTGGGAGAAAGTGATTATAAATCAAATACTATATAACAAAGACCTAGACACCAAGAATCTGGTGAAACTGCCAGGTCCTGAGGAAGCTACTAGTTGAATTCAACTTGGAGCACAATATAATTTCGATATAAAGTGTTGTAGAGCATCTTAGAACCTACTGTGGTGAGATTTTATAATATATTTTAGTAAATGACTTCCTTAACTTGGAAAGGTGAATTACATCATTAATTTCAGGCATTTCTTAAGCCAAGCAATGTGCAAGGCATTGTGCTGAGGCTGAGGTGACAGGTACTATAATACAGCTGTTCCAAATAGTAAATAAATGGCTTGAGCCCTGGCTGGTGTGGCTCAGTGGGTTGAATGTCGGCCTGCAAACCAAAAGGTTGCCTATTTGATTCCTAGTCAGGGCACATGCCTGGGTGCAGACCAGGTCCCCTGTTGGGGTTGTGCAGAGAGGCAACAGATGTATCTCTGGCACATTAAAAGTTTGTTCCCCCCCCCCCAAAAAAAAAGTCTAAAAAACAGATTCCCTTCTAGAGGGAGAAAAAGAAATATGCTGTAGTGGCTTCCTGCTACCCCTAAAAAGCAACTCCATATTTTCCATACACCATGTCTCACCAAATACCAAATCTATCTTTGATGTCTGTGCTTGCCTCCTTCCCCTCTTAACTCTAGTGCAGCCCCATTAGTCTGCTTACTCATTCCCTGGAAACCTTTGCTCAGGCTGCTGGCTCTTCTTAGACTGCCTAACTCCACCCACTCCTCACCTATTGAAAACCTACCTGTTGTTCCAGGCTTCTCATAAATAATAGGGCCTTTCCCTGACCCTCCCCCTCACTTTCAGCTTTGTTTCTCCTTCTCTGGCTTGCTATCTCTCAGAGGCCCTTCAGTCCTGGTTGAATTAGACCCCAACTGGATTTACTTTGTTGTACTGAGTCTTTGGATTGCCTCTCCCAAGCCTGAAATTTACAGATTTGGTTTGATGTGTTAATAGTCTTTATGGAAAACTAGAGGCTAGTAAAACCTTCGCCAGATGCAAAAAATGAGTGTAATGCTTCTTCTCACCCTAAACGGGATAAATTAAGTGGTTTAACTTTTTAGGTATCAAAACTAAGCTCCTTTAAAGGCATAATTACATGACCTATGGTCAGTAATTTTTTTGTTGTTGTTTATTGCTTAACAGGTCATAACTATGACTTCCTCAGAACTTAAGAGTCATTGCTTGTATTGTTCTAGTCTGATTTTTTTATTGAAATATTCCTTAGTGTTTGTTTTTTTGTTGGTTTTTTTTTTAACCTCACCCGAGGCCATGTTTATTGATTTTAGAGGGAGGGAAAGGGAGAAAGAAACATCAATCCGTTGCCTTCCGTACACACCCCTATTGGGGATCAAACCTGCAGTCTATGTATGTGCCCTGACCAGGAATCAAACCTTCAACCTTTTGGTGTATGGGATGATGCTCCAATCAACTGAGCCAACCGGCCAGGGCAGGAATATTTCTTAACTTCTAATTTTATATTTTCCTTTTTTTTTTTTAAGAAAGGGGGAAAAGGAGGGAGAGGACTTTAATTGGTTGTCTCTCATACGTGTCCCAACCTGGGACTGAACCGGCAACCCAGACATGTGCCCTGACCAGGACTTGAACTAGTGATCATTCACTTTGTGAGACGATGCCCAGCCTACTTAGCCACAGTGGTCAGGGCTAATTTTATATTTTCATTCAAATATTTACAAGAGAATTTTATCCCAGTGATAGGTATTGGAAAAGATGGGTGACACACATACTTTCTCCATTATGGAGCGCACTTGGTGCTGTGGAAGGAGTTTGAACTTGGGGCTGTTGCTGTAATCCAGGTGCAAAATAATGGTGAGTGATGGTGTGTGTCACAGGTTAGATAGACGTCATAGACAGCTGTGGCTTGGTGGAGGTAAAATTGATGCTGATGGGAGAGGGGAGTGATAGAAGAAGAAAAAGGAAGTGACAAAAATGACTTGGTATATTTATAACTTTGTCCTCTAGGTTTATCTTATTACTGTAATTGTTTTTTGTATTTGTCTGTGGTAAACTTAACCCCCAAAAGGTAGCATGTCACATGGCTTCCCCTGCCCCCAAGAGTACATTTATTAAACAAGTGAAACAGGAAAGGGCTTAGGACAGAAGAAGCAACAGGAGAGAGCCTATGCAGGGCTGCTTTGGCTCACTGGAAAGTCGGAGTAAAGGGGCCTTGGAATCAGGTTCAGGGGTTAGCCCAGGATGAGCTGCCACTGCCCATTGCTCCCCTGGTCGCCAGTCTCATGGGGACCCTTAGAGTTGAGTAGATGCATGCTTGAGAGGGAAGAAAGGCATGTGGGTGTGTCCCGTGCAGTGTGATGGCTTTTGTTGATTTTGAATGACCCTATTCCTTGTGCATATGGATGTAATTTTTCTATTACAAATTACACATCCTGTGGTGGTGGTTATAGTCAGTAGTAAGGTAAGCATTAGTGTTTTGTTTTGTTTTGTTTTTTTGTTTAATAGAGGCTATTTCCAGTTTAACAACAGAATGTTTCAGAAGGTTTCTGAGGGGTTTCTGTAGATATGAACTATATTTTCCCATGGTTTAGAAACTTGAAAGTGTGTTTTATTTTTAAAGATTTTGTTTATTTTTAGAGAGGGGGGAAGGGAAGGAGAAAGAGAGGGAGAGAAACATCAGTGTGTGGTTGCCTCTCGCATACCACCCCCTCCTGGGGACCAGGCCCTTGACCCAGGCATGTGCCTCAACTGGGAATCAAACCAGCAATCCTTTGCTTTACAGGCTCGCGCTCAATCCACTGAGCTACACCAGCCAGGGATTGAAAGTGTGTTTTGTGTAACTTGCTTTTCCGGTTCTAGCTTATGTATGAAGGCTAGGAGAAAAATAATGAGAAGTAAACATTTAAAAACTGAGGCAAGTTGACCCTCAGAGAAAATCTCCTTTCCTACTCAACAGACATTGCATATCGCATGTACCTAGTAATACAGAACTAACATTAAATCAACAGTCCCTGTCATGTTCTTGAGGAACTTACTGGTTACCAAGACTTTTTAAAGGCTACTTCCATGCAATCTAATGTGGTAAAGTATCTGTGGGAGAATCAGAAAAGCTTAACCTGAGTGCCCGGAGGAGGACCCTCAAACCTCTGAAGCGGAAAGGAAACTCCGCATGGACCAGAAGATACCACAGGCAGCAGGGTCACATTTCCCCCCCACATTCCCTGTTCTAAATATTTAATGGACCTCAAATCTGGACTTTGCTATTTAGGAGTAGGGATTACCAGTAATTTTGATTACCATAGGATTCAACACTGAATAAACCTTTGAGGGTCCTCTTACTGGTATTTTAAATCATCTAAATTCAGTTCAGATGAGATATAAGAACATTGTCATTATATCTGGAATAGAAGCTTGCCCAGTTAAGAGGTGTGCCCATGGCATGTGAAATACTGGTAGCCGTTTAATTTGTGACATATCTCTTGTTTGAGACTTGAATCCAGAGAATTTTTTACCTAAGAAAGGTAAAAAAATTTTCCTTTTGATCTGAATAGTTGGAGTAGATTATTTCTAAGGCTCCTTCAGGCTAAAATATTTCAGTTCTTTCTGATAAGTGAAAGGAGGCAGTGCTTATTAGTGGGAGTTCAGATTATCCTAGAGTCTGAGCTAAGATCCTAACAAATAAGGTGGGTGCCCAGGCA